TTTACATGAGGTGAAAGTACATTCGGTAATAGGATATGGTAGTAAACATGAAACTGATAGAGTTTGATGGCACACTGATGTTGTCTGATGTTATTTACTAAAATATGAAATTTTAGATGGTGATATACATACCCAAAGGAGATGACCATCCAGTCCCTGAGGGAGTTGTAAGCTGGAATAAAGTCGTGAGGACTCGCTATAATCCGAAGACAGTGCCAAAAGCCAACATTGACTTGGATAAAGATATGATAATCCTACCTTACTCTAGGTATGAACTTTTAGATGATTTTGCCAAGTACAACTTCCAACAACAGAACGTTTCGAAGGCTATAAGCTACCAGTTACTATATAGCCATTGTTTAGTGGCACCACAGGCTCTCCGAAAGGTGTTATGCTCTCACATCGAAATTTTGGAACGATGATGAACATATACTTGAAGTATGCATCCTTATCTGGAAATAGGCAGAATTCCATCTTCTCATTTTGGCTTATTCAGACATGAGTCTACTAACATCGTGCCTCTCATTGCCGATGACTGGGATTACCAAAGAGAAAAGTTGATGCTGTTTCTCCCATTTTATCACGCCTTTGGCTTCGGTTCGTTTTTTTTTGCTGGGCCATCAATAAAGACGTAATAGGCATTTAGGTCTACTCAACCTTAGCTTGCTCCAGGGCTCAACAGGCATCGTTTTCAAGCATTTCGAACCGAATCAGTTCTGCAGAGCGATACAGGATCATAAAGTGAGTTGCTACATTCATAACTGCTTTGTGCAAAATCGCACAGGCTACTTTAGCAAGTGCGCTAAGGTTTCCGAGAGCTTTTCAACAATGCCTGCAGCTTGTTATCTTTGCTAGCTGTAAAATAGAAATACGGCGCTAAACCATAAAAATTGACCAGAAGAATTTTAGTGTAACGATAAAAAGAATGACTGCATACATCGTTCTCTCTGCGTTTACTAACATTAGTTTTGTGATGGATGAGTCATATAACGTTACACAACTAATGTTCTCGAACTTAGGACAGCAAAAGGTCATTGCAATTAGCCGCTGATATTTATAGTTTGACCTTGCTACATAGAAATAAAATCAAATCCACCTAACGAAAATACTAGAATGCGATGGATCTTGTAAACCGAGACAATTCAAAAGTTCAACTTTTTTTGATGCGAAGATGCACTCTTCTAAAGAGCACTGATTACAAAAAATTACATCTCGAGATAAGTTAGGGAAATTTCTTGCGGTGGGAATGTGAACAGAGTGATTTGTATTCCCAGTCTGTCTCTATGAACGAACCGCATGATACACATAAAGATC